CCTTGAAATACACTTCCTTCATTCTCATTTGGAATATTTCCCAGAAAATCTTGGAGCATATAGTGAGGAGATGGGTGAACGATTTTACCAAGACTTTAAACAAAAGGAACAACACTACCAAGGAAGATGGTACGAAAAAATGATGGCCGACTACTGCTGGTTATTGAAAAGGGATGATAATAACCCTACTAGTCACAAACGTAAATCTCTTCAATGATCGTTTGAAATGAAGCGCCAACGTTTTCACAAAAAGAAAGCATAACATCACAGAATTGGCGGTTATAGGTTTAAGAATATACATTCTAAAGATTGTCAGCTTCTTAGTGTAACCTCTCTAAACACATTGGAGCTTAGGTTGAAATGCTATGGATTACAGTCCACTTAAATTAATTTGTCCTGTGCTTGACCCTCACTGTTCACTGCATTTAGTTTAATCTGTTGTGAGTTTAGCGCTAGCAGATCATAGAGAACGTAAGTTCACCTGTAGTGGTCTAGGGCTCGAAGTTTACTGCGCATATAGGTTATACTGTCGTGGATTCTAGTTTGCAAGTTATATCGTACTCAATATACCTGTTGCGGATTATAGCGCGATTAAATTACCCTGTAGCAGGTTATAGCGAATTTAGGTTAACTTGCCGTAATTTTGAGTTTGCAGGTTATAGCGCACTTGAGTCAACCAGCCGCGTATTATAACGCACTTAACCTCTCGCGGGTCATAGAGCGCTTAGATTAATTTGTCGTGGTTTTTAGCTGACTGTAGGTTATAGCGCACTTAGGCAATCTTCTCATGGTTTTGAGCTTGCAGGTTATAGCGCACTTAAGTTAATGTGTCGCTGGTTCTAGAGTTATAGGATTTTCAGTGCATTTAGGTCTTAACCATCTGCCTTAGCCTGCCCGAAATTTATAGCTGCCATTTTAGAGTGCATCTAATAAATGCAGCTAGATTCGCCGTAAATTAATACAATGGTAGACCTTTATATGCCAGTGTAAGTTTTTCCTACTACTGAAGATTGCAAAAAAAATCAAGATTTTTCATTCTCCAGTATAAATCAATTAATGAATGGCACATTACAATTGACGGTATCTCTGCTGGTAAAAGACATAAAAAAATCGGTAATGCATTTTGTCAGCCAAGAGTTGCTCTTTCAGATGCCGTTGTCAGTTTTGCATGAAAAAATTTATTCACAATGTTATAAGGTACCGAATATAGCCAAAAAAACGTGATTTTCGCACTTTTAGGTTAGGACATCTCAAAATCCTGATGTGCTGGCGCAAATCTGAGCTTGGATTTGGATTCAGCGCACTAAAATCCTTCAGGTGTACTATGTCTGGTCACTCGTTCTGTAGTGTCGCAGTATAAACAAATTCATAGGTGTTAAATTTCAAACGATGATATCTCCATTACCAAAAGACATAAAAACAAAAATCGGTACTGCATTTTGTAGACCAAGAGTTACTCTTTCAGATACCGTTGTCAGTTTTGCACGAAAAAAATTATTCACAATGTTATAAGGTACCGTATACAGGGTGTCCCATTTTAATTTACCACCCCCTAAAACAGGTTAATAATTTGCTCTGAGAAAAAAATGTTTCAAATAAAATTTGTTGGGTTCGAAGGGGGGCATCTTTTGGCTATTTCAGCTGCGACCTTGAACATGACCTTCAAGGTCATTTGAAAGTCAAGACCAAATTTTCATATGAAATGTGCATATTTTATGGCGGATTCGGATTCTACTAAAAAAAAGAAACACTTTTTGTCTGAATCATTTTTTGATCATCAATAGGTAGGTAGCTCTCTCTTTAACTGAAAAGAGAATTTGTTCTAGAAATAAGATGTTTTAGATGAATGTTACTAGCTTCAAACAAAGACAGAGGTATCCTTTGGATCACTTAAGGCAAGACCTTCACGTCCAACCACTTAAGGCAAGACCCCTTCGTTCAGCTAGTCACGGAAATTTCAATGTCTCAAGTGCTCTATCAATTGCCCATTTTGTTGAATGCACATTTGTATTTTCTGCCGAAAACTTCTTTGGACATCTCTATTAATGTTTGTGGGGTTAACGCCTGGAATGCTGCAACAATTCTCTCCATCATATTTTGTGCCGTCGTCGGGGCTTCCGCGTAAACTCTCTGCTTCACGGCTCCCCCACAGAAAGAAGTCCAATAGGGTCAAATCTGGCGATCGCGCAGGGAATTCACAGATTGGACTACCAATTCCAATCCAACTATTTGGGTATGTCGCGTTCAGAAATCTCCTGACAAGTAGTCGACGATGAACGGGAGCACCATCTTGCTGGAACCACATGTCTCGCCTTATTTCTAGCGGAATGTTTTCTAGAAGAGGTGGAATTTGGTTCTCGAGAATATCTAAATAAAGCTCGCCGTTTAAATTACGGTCATAAGAAGTTTAATATTCCTCCTAGTAGGATGACGAGCGTCCGGATACCTTTCAGCGTACAGCCTCGCTGCAGCCTTGTAATTGTCGTGACATTCTCCCAGAATCTTGATCATGTTGACTATCTCTACTGGCGTGTAGTCAGCCATTATCTGTTGTAGGTAGATTTTTTAGGGAATCTTTAATCTTAAATTAATAATTTAATTTTTATTTAATCTGAAATTCAGAAAGTCAATGAAAACCTAATGATGAGAAGCTTTGAGGAGCTGTAAGAATTTACAAGCCTTACCAATAGAACGATAATGAAGCAAAAAAATGTCTTTTAGCGAGAAATAAAGCATTTGCGAGAAAAATATTCTAATTCTAATATTCTAATTCCTCGGATAAAATGTAATGGTTACCTGTAAATAAACATTTGACCTTCAAGAAATCTTGATGACCTTCAAATGACATTGATGGCTCTTAAGCAAGTTCATGGTGAAGGTCACTACAGTATGTCCCTCATTAAATCTAGTAACATTCATCAAAATCATTCTTAACTGTGGGAAAAATTCTAACCTCAGTTTAAGGTAGAGATATCTAGTGATTTTTTCTACTTTTTTAAAGCCGTTTACAACAAAAATTTGGGATTTTTTCAAAAAATGATTCATACAAAAAGTGTTTTTCTTTTTTAGTAGAATCCGAATCCGCCATAAAATATGCACATTTCATATGAAAATTTGGTCTTGACTTTCAAATGACCTTGAAGGTCATGTTCAAGGTCGCAGCTGAAATAGCCAAAAGATGCCCCCCTTCGAACCCAACAAATTTTATTTGAAACATTTTTTTCTCAGAGCAAATTATTAACCTGTTTTAGGGGGTGGTAAATTAAATAGGGACACCCTGTATAGCCAAAAAAGCTTGATTTTCGCACTTTTAGGTTAGGATATCTCAAAATCCTGACGTACTAGCGCAATTCTGAGCTCGGATTTGGATTCAGCGCACTAAAATCCTTCAGGTGTACTATGTCTGGTCACTCGTTCTGTAGTGTTGCAGTATAAACAAATTCATAGGTGTTAAATTTCAAACGATGATATCTCCATTACCAAAAGACATAAAAACAAAAATCGGTACTGCATTTTGTAGACCAAGAGTTACTCTTTCAGATACCGTTGTCAGTTTTGCATGACAAAATTTATTCACAATGTTATAAGGTACCGAATATAGCCAAAAAACGTGATTTTCGCACATTTAGGTTAAGATATCTCAAAATCCTCACGTGCTGGCGCAATTCTGAGCTCGGATTTGGATTCAGCGCACCAAAATCCTTCGGGTGTACTATGTCTGGTCTCTGGTTCTGAAACCTTGTTGGCCTGTGTAATTCAATTAATTCATATTATTCATATTATTATTTTCATGTCAAATATATTGATACATTTTTCGAAAGTTTAATCATCTACAAAAATCTACAATCATCTTTCATGAGCTTACACAATACATATATACTATTACGTAACAATGATCACGTGATTATCTTTCAGCCCATCAGACCACGAATAAATCAGGTTCACTTTGTTAATTTCTCTGTTTTTGTAAAAGGATAAAAGGATTTTTTATTAGAGGATAACGAATTGAATTTGTGGCATTTATAATGAATTTGTTGGCATCATATTCAGATTAAACAACTTCAAAAATATTTAAGAACATCAACCTAGTCTCAAAATATTCTATTTAAAATTTGTTTGTTAGTGCTGTCATTAATTCAATATTTTTATTTTAAAAAATCACCTTTTTTAAATCTTCTAAGTATAATTTGGAAGAAGTCTTTTGAAAACTTGTTCAAAGTAGTATAAACTTGTAATTACTTTGATATTTAGACCTATCTAATCTCTCTATAGAGTGTGCTCTTTGAAAATACTCACAAAATTACTCACAATTTTTACCAGTCAAAATTGCAATACATGGGTTTATTCAGGCATAACTTTCTTATATTTATAGAGCACATGAATTTGCGAAAAATATCTTAAGTTATTGAGCTAAAAGAAAGGTAAACTGCTATTCAGAATCATTTATAATTAAATGGTATTTTGTTAATCAGTATATAACAATAAATTTCCAAAAAGCAAACAATTTGAGAAATGCTATGTCGAAAATTTATCACTCAGGAACCATAATGGGAATACCTTAATTTTTAGCACATTATATTAAGAAAAGTGTTGAAAAAACGGGGAATCAATCATGTATGAGATATATTTCAAACGTTAAAAAAATGATGACCATGAAAATATTTTTGATTTGTTAAAGGAACTCTTTAAAAACATCATTTTTTTTTTAATTTTTCGTCTGAAATCTCTTATAACTTCTGACAAGCATCTTGTAGGTACGTAATACACTTTAGACTTGTGATTCATGCAGTGAACAAGTAATAACATTATTAAAAAGGTTATATAGTTTTGCATTCTTGATGCAGGCAAGGGACAGCTATGTAAACATTTTTAGGGATTTGCCAATATTTTAATAAATTCATTTACAACTTGAATGTAGATGGCTTTCTTAATCTAGTTCTTCAATTAAATATCGTTTTGATTAATGATTTAAAAAATTTTTATATATATTTTGACTACAGAGTACCAATTTTGAAATGGATCAAGCTGGAATGAAAGCTCAACTGTGTCAGCTCCATAACATTTTATTAGTCACAGAACCTCAGCTTGCTCAATATTTGGATAAACATGATTCTGGGAATATGTTTTTCTGTTTTCGATGGCTTTTAGTATTATTTAAAAGAGAGTTCAACGCAGTCGACATAATGGAACTTTGGGAAATACTTTGGACTGATTTACCTTGTAAAAATTTTCATTTACTATTTTGTGCAGCTATTTTGGATACAGAAAAAACAATACTCATAGAGAACCGTTATGGTTTTACAGAAATTTTAAAGGTGAAATTCGAATCGAAATTGATTTTTTGACGCAATATAATTTTTTATTTTTTCTTTTTAGCATATAAATGATCTTTCGCTCCACATTGAGTTGCCTTCGACACTGTCTAAAGCTGAAGGTATTTACCATCAACTGATGGCGGTAGCTCCACAACTTCCTGATAATGTGCGAGTAATTATTGGATTAAAACCATTGAATAAACCGTCAGAAATAAGTGATCACGAGGATGAAGATGCAAATAATGTGATGACAAGTCCAAATGAAGAAAACAATTCATTAATCAATTCAAATAATGATGTCAGTTCAAACTTTGGAGCTAGCGAAGTATCGTTTGAACGTAGTTTGAATTTGTCGTACATGTAGATTGCATTGTAATGATTTTAATATATAAGAACGTAAGAAGTTCGTTTATTTTAATATATTAATTTTATTCAACAATATATATATATATATATATATATATATATATATATATATATATATATATATATGTTGTAAAAATACCTTATATATTGACATCGATTTTGTAAAATTTTTAATTCATGTAATCTTATCATCTCAACAGGTTATAGTCGACGGAAATTTTCAGAATTTTTTGGTGTTTAATAAATCGAAATAATCAGTTAGTTACAAATAATTTTTTTAAGATTTCAAAAATTTTTTAAATGAATTAAAGTAGAAAAGAACTATTGTAGAAATGTTAGTGTTACCGGTTATTTTTTGTTGAGAAAACAGTACATTTGGTTATTAATGTGAGAAAGGAATTTCAGTCTCGTGTGGACGTTTGCACCTGAGCGACGCCATGGTCAAGAGGCGGTATGAGGTAGAAATCACTTTTTCGACACTTCGTATGTGCAAAGTACATCTTTCCCACACATTCGGCTAAAAGCCTTCATTTAAAATCGCAACTTCCCACACGTCATATCGAAAAATATGATATAAAACATTTTAGAGAAAGAGATTCTTTTCTCGCTTCTCTCAGGCGTATATGGTGCACGAGTAAAAAATCTAATTTCCTGCACCTGTATCGTAATGTACTATCTCGGAGATATATTTTATTTTATTTTTTGATACGACGTTTATGGTAGAAGATTTTGAATAGGCTCTATGTTTCTAGTGTGAATAAAACTGAGTCCCCACGTAGAGAGCGTCAAAAATAGGTATCACTTGTCGCGGTAACGGTTCACATGACAGTATACATTATGGTTGTACGGGCATGAGGGCCGAGTAACCAGAAATTAATAAAACTTTTTATATATCATTTTGATACGGTTCTACGACACTCATATCAATTTAAACACATTCTGGTCGTCAGAAGCGGAGATATTGAAGAACAAAGTTGAATCAAAATACATTGGCTCTTATGGAGAGACTCTGAATCGACAACTAAAACATCTCCGTAAATATACTCCTACTAATGAGAAAGAGCTAAAAAACTAATATATTTGAAATCAATTATTGAAAAACTATTATCTGAAGTTTGAATATAATTTGTTCGCCTGTTCGTGAAATATATTAATGTAAATTATACGAATTATACATTTCTACGATTTCATGTCAGAGAGTGGCAACGTCGCACACGTATTTCTCGTGCGACTTTGAACGAAAAAAAATTTCATAAACAAAAATAATGATGTAACTCCGAGTAGAATAAATTATTGGCGATATAAAGTTTAAAAAATCATATTATGTTTATAATAACAATTCAAAATATTCTGTGGAAATATAAATAAATTGTGTTGTAATTTTTTCTTACGTCATAAATATACATTTATTACGAAACGAAACATGTGAACATTTTTAACAAAACATGTGGACACATAAATAATATAAGTATTAATAAATAAATAAATAGTTGTTACTACAATTCTTTCAACTAATACTCGCATTTGCTAAGAAGTCAGCGACTTTTTTTATCACAGACCGCGCTTTACTCACGCGCACTTTTCCATTAACTTTTTCTGAAAATAACTCAGCAATACCTTCGTAATTGTTAATTGCAAATGTCTTTTGCAATAGTGCCATCGTCATGTCAGTGTTGACCATCCTTTTTTTCATTTCTTCCGAAATTACTGAGTCAAGGGGAGAAAGATCTTTTTGAGCAATTGCAATTTTTACGTAATTGGCCAAAGTTTGCATATATTTTATCAGATCCATCTCGATCACAGGGTGTTTTGTAAGAATACAAGAAAGCATTTTTACATCAGCTAAGGCATTGTGTGCACCAATTGTGCTTATTCCATAATTATCTGCTAAAGCTTCTAATTTGTAGGTTTTTCGTCCGGGTAATAAGTTCTTGAAAATTTCAAGGGAGTCCACAAAGCCATATATAAGAGGCTCGTATTTATCAAACATTTTCGCTTTTTCTAAATTTTTCATTAAACGTAATTTATCACATTTACAGTAGTGAGCAATCAGAGTACATGGCGGTTTGCACGATGAAAGAAATTCTTGAAACTGTAGGAGCCCATTATGAAGAGTTTCAGCTTGGACTTTCTTTCCTGCGTAAAATAAATCGCCGCCGATTTTTCTTATATGACTAACAGCAGATGCTTGAACAGATATTGGCTTCGATGGCTTTATATATACGTTAAAAGTGCGGCCATCGCACACAGCTCCGATTTATACGATATCAGCGTTCCGTGACAAATCCGTTGTTTCAAGATCAAATATAACATATTTGCCTGGAGTGTACGATGATTCGGCGCTATTCTCGATAGTCTCTACGGATGATTCCAAAGAAGGCGTACATTCATTGACGCATTCTTCATCAATAAATCCCATTCCCGGTGTGTAAGATCGATTTTTTTTAGCAATTCTTGTAGTAAATCATTGCAAGAATGTTGTGTTAAAATTTCAAGTAAATCGGAGTAAAATTTTTAAATTTATAGAGCATTTAGTGACCCCTCCTCACAGCAGAGCATTGGCATATGCGCGCTAATCCCCTACAGCTCGGCTGTCGGCGAGCAGGTATAAGATTTAATCCCTCGTCAATCTTTTCTTTTCGCTCCATTTTTACTTTTCTTAGAATGTTCCTTTTACGTTGAAAACTAAAATCTGAACTATATTGTAATATAGTTTACGTACATTTCAAAGAGAAGGAGAAGCGTCAGTTCTCTGTTGTGCGTCCAGCCGAGCAGTTTCCGTGCAGCTATTTTGTAACAGTGCTCTTTTGATATACATTTTAATAAAAATGCCGAGTTTCAAAAGTATCAAGAAATAATCGAAAAGACATTAAAAAACAATTAAGCAGAAAAAGAAAATATTCGAATCCCAATAAAAAAAAAGACGATTTAAATATAAGGAGTGCGTCGGCGAAAAAAATTAAGGTAAACACTACCAGGCGCGTGCAACAAGATGGCGAAAAATATTATCGCATTATTGATTTCTTTCTTGTTTTCAAAACGATATCTACGTTAGTTAAATATGCTGTTAAGTGTGACGGAACAGTTGACTTTCAATCTACTAATTAAAGAAGGTCTTGGTTTTGAAGTTCAAGTGAAATGCGCTAAATGTGAACCGTGTTACGTGCCATCAAGCGAAAGAATCGGTCGAGGTTTCGAAATAAATACTCGATTTATTTTCGTTATACGCTTATTAGGCTTGGGCCTTGACGGGTGTAACAAATTCTGTGGTTTGATGGATTTAACCAGTAATTTTTTAAGTAAATCAAGTTACGGCAATTCCATCAAAAAAATTGTTTCGTTCATGAAAATTACTAGCGAAAGATTTCTTTTTTCTGCTGCAGCAGAAGAAAAAAAATGGTGACATCTTGACTGCTTCTGGAGACGTAACATGGATGAAGCAAGGGTTTTCTTCCTTATTTGGAGTTACGTCTTTAATCGGTTATTGGACTGGAAAAGTGTTCGACATTTTTATTAGCAGTTTGCATTGTCAACTCTGTAAAATCTGGGAGAAAAAATTAAGTATAATAGAGTTTGAAGAATGGTATGAAGAGCACTTGGAAAAAGATGAATGTCAAGCAAATCATACAGGACCATCTGGAAACATGGAAGTAAATGAAGTGATCGAGATGTTTTGCCGATTTCGAAGAGAAATATGAAGCAAAAATCTGTAACTATATCGGAGACGGAGATACTAAAACTTACGGAAATTTAGTTAAAGCAAAGCCTTACGGTGAAAATTTTACTATAAATAAAAAAGAGTGTATAGGGCACGTTCAGAAAAGAATGTGCACACGTCTCCGCGAGATAGTTAAAAATACCGTAGAAGATAAAGTGGTGAAAATAGGGAAAAATGCTAGACAAAAAAAAAGAAATAAGGTGTTTGGCGGAAAAGGAAAATTGACAGGGAAAATGATTGACAATTTAAGTCGCTATTATGAATCTGCAATTCGATTCAATTGTCGTTCTATAGATAAAATGAAAAACGCCATATGGGCCACATTTTATCACCAGCAATCCGCAGCACGACAAGTGTATGAGCGGCGATAAATCATGGTGTTCGTATCAAAAAGCTTTAGTGACAGGATGCATAAAAGATTTCAAACACGACTATAATCCTCTTCCAGCTGATGTTATTCAAGCAATCAAGCCAATCTATGAAGATTTAAGTAAAGACGAACTTTTGGAAAGGCTTCTCGGCGGATATACGCAAAATGCGAATAAAAGCTTGAATCTACTCATCTAGCGCATCGCACCGAAAAAACTATCAGGTAGTAAGGATATAATTGAGTTTGCAGCTTATGTTGCTGCAAGCACCTTCAACGAAGGTTCTGGTGCTTTGTTAGCTTTTATGCATGAAATGGCCATCGGCGTTGGACCGAACGCTCACGAATATGCTACAGCGCAAGATGCCTATCGCATAGCCAAGTCTGAAAAAGAAGCTGAGCAGCAGAGTAAGGAAGCGAGAATTAAGTGTAGATTGGAAAAAAAAGAAGCTGAGAACAATGATATTGCTGCGGGGAATGTACTTTATGGAGCTGGAATAGAAGATTCCGTATAAGGTATGAAAATAAATTTTTTTTTTCACTTTTTCAGAGTTAAAAACTTTAAATGCGTTTTTCTCAAAATGACTTTCTAAAATTCGGTAACCAACAGAACTCGGAAACTATTAAACCGATTCTTTTCAACCTTGGCACACACTTTCTACATATAAAATACCTCCCCCCTTCCGTTATTTATTTATTTTTTTGTAGTTTTCCACTTACAAAATGGCAGAATTTTTCGTAAAAAATAGCTTTTTTGCTTTAAATAGGCGCCAAAAATAAAAAAAGAAAAAATAAAAAATAACAGGGGGGGGGGGAGTCTTACTTTAATTAAAAATACTGATTTTTTTAATTTCAGATGATTCTACGGCGAATGGCGATGCTCGCCGCAAGACACCTTTCCGAAAACACGTTTTGGCAGATGCTCTCTCACTGACTTATTTTTCAATATGTTCTCATAAAAATTTTTTAAAATATTGTTCAAGAGTTTTTATCAAAGTATCTTAAGCCATATGTCTGAAAAAAATTCTCAAAAATTGTGTTTTTTTTTACCATTAAACCTTACCCCTCTCTTAATAATAGAAAAACTTTTAAAAGAAAAATATAGAAAAATTGATATGTACAAAATAACTAATAATTAAAAAAAACAAGAAGAGATACATATAATCGCGTGAGAGCATGTAGAATGAACTATTTTTCTCATGTTGATTATCTTATTAAAAAATTATTCATTAATTAACAAGAAAACCTCAAAGTAATTGATGAAAACTTCCGGAATTTTTTACTCGAAAACGATGGACTTTCAGAATAAAATTTTACTGATGAAAAAACTCTTAGAATTGATCAAAAAATATACTAGAATTTTTTCGGAATCTTTCGAACGTTTAAAACAATTTTCAAAATTTTGAAATTTTTCGAAATTTGAGAAATGTTTGAAAAAATCTGAGATAATTCTAGTAGATTTTTTGATCAATTTTATGAACACAATTTTAGGAATTTTAAAATTTTTTCTGATAGTTCATCGTTTTAGGGTAAAAAATTTCTAATGTTTTTGACAGTTTTTCCGCGTATAAGCCGCCATTTTGTATGTTTGAAACTTTTTTTTCGAAATTTCAACCAACACATTTTGAAGCTCAGAACTCGAGACTATGATATTCTTACTCCAAACAAAAATTTAAACGACTTCAATGTAAAAATTGAAATGAGCAAAAATTTTTTTTTCAAAACCCTGTTTTTTTTCTTTAAATCGTATTGAAAATTATACGGGTACACTTTTTGGAAAATATGATGAAAGATTCAGAAAGCCCATTAAATTCTACGTCGAATACGTCTGGTTGCATATATTTTACAACCCATTTTCGTAAAAAATTTATATGTGGAAAACTGTTGTAAAAATTCGTCCATTCAGGACTGAATGGGTTGGGTTGGGTTAGTATTGATTGAGGTGTTTTTATACGTCAACTGTCGTTACGGAAACCTTGGAATATTTACCGTTCAAATTCGAAGATGCAAGGATAAAAATTGTCGGTGCCTTACGATAGAGACTAAATGTATTTGAATAACAACTAAAGATTTCAATTATGAAGCAACAAAGATAGTCTAATTCGACATGGTTCGCCACATCGATGATCTGTTTGTAATTCTGTAATAATATAATTATGAAAGGAATTAGTCTAAGGCTGCTTTTTTCTCATAAAAGAATGAGTATGAGTTGAGCTTTTAACTATCATGGAGAGGAAATTTTTGTTTTTATTTCTTCTAGGTTTATTTAAATTCTATCTAACAAGGCAGACAATACGTAAGTAAATGAGCTTGCTATTACGAAAATTGACAAATAATCAAGCATAATATTCCAGTGAGTGTTGTGCTTATTCTTCTACTCCTATTCTTCCTATTCTTCTCCTCCCCCCAAAGTATGCCGAAAAAGTTTTTTTTTTTTTCAAAAATTGATAACGCAATTATATATAAATCGAGTACGCTCTATCGATTGGACGTAAAATCAACTTCCGGTTCCAACCGGAAATGGCCTATTCAGACCGGAAGTGCATGAAAATCCATTTTTTTAAATAGAACATGCATACTTTGTTTTCAGATTCAGATTCTGCGGTAAAAAATACGAAAATTTCATAAGAAGAATTTTTTGAAAAAAGTTGATATTTGACCTCTAATTGACGTCTGAAGTCTGTAATCCACCAGTTCGTACTCAAGCTGCGAATATGCACGTTTTAACAATGGAATAGGATAATGTGGCTCCTCTAAGAGGTTTTCGGGGTCGCTGTGTCCGAATCCAAGGTGAGTTTGATCTTATTAGGTCATTTTGAGGTCAATTCAAGGTCATTTAGAGGTAAAACAAAAAAAATATTAGATTTATCAAGAATGAAATACTTTTAAAATTTTAGCCTTAATA